TATCCACACTTGGGATAGGAAGGATTCAGGGGATCTGCCCTCAGGTCACCTTCTGAGTTCTCCCTGTGCATTAATCCACCTCTTCCCGTTGGCCCTAAGCCATGCATTCTCAGTGGGGGTAATATCACCCCCAATGGGGCAAAATTTTGGTTTTGGTGAGGAGGCAAAAAAAAAAAGAAACAAAAACACATCTTTTGATGTGCAAAAAATAGATAAATGTACAACATAAAAAGAGATATCCAAGCCAGTAAGGTGGTGCACACCTGTAATCCCAGCAGCTCAGGAGGCTGAGTCAGGAGGATCGAAAGTTCAAGACCAGCCTCAGCAACAGCGAGGTACTAAACAACTCAGTGAGACCCTGTCTCTAAATAAAATACAAAATAGGGCTGGGGATGGGACTAGTGGTCGAGTGCCCCTGAGTTCAATCCCCAGGTACCAAAATAAAAAAGAAAGAAAGAGCTATCCAGTCTCTCTGTGGCGCTAAGCTCTCCTGGGAGGCATGATCAGGAAGCAGCCTCCTTCCAGGGAGCAATAATGAAAAAATGATGGAGAAACGCTGGCCCAAGGAAGATGCCCTCTGCTCACGCCTGTGCCCTTTCCTTCAGTGACAGCTGCCTGATTTCAGAAGTCAGTGAAGCACGCACCATCATGTCCTTTCCTAGCTGCCTGCCGCCAACCCGCAACTCTCTGGACCACACCTCTATAGGCCCGTCACCACCCTTTGGCCACAGGCACAGTGCCTACCTGCCTGGCCTGTGATCTTACTGGCCAACCATAGTCCAGTGTAAAACCCATTCACAAGGCCCACCTTTGACGCCCAGGCCAGGGGGTTTCTACCTTTGACATTTTGCTGACTTAGTCTCAATGAGGAAGGAGTCACAGACACAACCCAAGTGCGCTAAGGGACTTGCTTCTGAAGTGCATTCACACTCGCTGCCTGGTTCTTACAACCCTGGGGTGGGGGGCGGGTGAGCCTCGCAAGGGAAACCAGGCTTCGGAGGACAGGGTTGGCCTCCCCCCGCCTTCACCCAGGAGGCAGAGTCGGCTGCCCTGACAGGTGGAAGTCCACTGCTCCCACCATCGTCCTGTCCTGCTCACGGCTCAGAGGAGCGGCACTCAGGTGTGACGGGTGATTTTAAACTCACGAGGAAGGATGAGGTAGGTCAGAAAGGAGAAGCTCCAAAGTCACCTTCTCACCAGGCCAGCAGCAGTGTAGAAGTGCCCACCCATGGTGCCCACCCTTCCTCACCACAGCGTGGGGGGACGTGGTGTAGAGTAGTTAAGAGGGTAGGCTTTGAAGTCAGGAGGACATGGGAACTGCATGCCAACTCTGTCACTTACTAGCTACCCAGCAGGTACTCAACTTCTCTAACCTCAGTTTTCTCATCTGTAAAGTGGAATAATAACAGACGATCTTACAGGATCATGAACCTTCCCTGATACTAACGAAGAGCCCTTAGCATTATGTCAGGCACATACTTAGTGATCAAGAAACCAAAGAGGCTGATGGCCTAAGAAATTTCTTAGAATATGCATCCTACTTTTTCAGTGCCCCATCTCCGAAATGCCCCCAAATTCTTGTTGACCTCTAAGAATTTAAGAGAAAATAAAACCTGCCTTCAGGTAGCTTTGATGGGCTGCTGCTGCTCCTGTAACCCACATCTCCAGAGACACCCTCCTGATTACCCTCACCCTGAGCAGGCTAGACATGGACACCTTCCCCCATGCTACCTTTAGACCTGATCCCTGGAAAATATCTTTTTTTTAGGCCTGTCTCTTAAGGTTAGATGACTTCTCCCCTGCTCTAGTTGGCCTGTGGGCACATCTGCTAAATACATATCTGGGTCTGAGCCATCTCCCAGACTTGAATGTGTCCAGCTCTGAAGGCTGGACCCGAGCCCAATAACAAGCCCTTCCCAGACCCCAGGAGAATGGGTCCATTCCCTTGACCTGGCCTGATGCCTACTTTTTCTGTGAGGTCATCCCTGGAGGACAGGGAGGCAGAACTAAGAGAGGGCAGAGGCCAGTCCTCAGGGATATTTCAAACCTCAGACAGGGAAGGGTAACAAATGACTCTTGTGAAACTCCAAAGTGATCAAAGACAGGGGGAGAAGCAGGTGCCTGAGTCCCAGAGGGGAAATTTACTTCCCTGCTATCAATTCTCAAGTTTTCTGGAGGGCTTCCTGGAGTCTTTTAACCATGAGCTCATGAGCAATGGCATTGAATCCTCCTGGCAGCTCCATCTCTCTGAAGGCCTCTCCCCATCTCCCAACCACCCCTACCATGAAAATTCCCTCATCTCTGAGAAGGGGTGTGGGGCCTGCCAGGAAAACATCTGGCCATAACACACCTGCAGGGCACATGCCACTGTTTCATTGCACCAGATGATAACCCAGAAGCTCAAGTGCTACCAAAGATGAGGCAGAGTCAGGATTTGAACCCAGACCCTCTATATTTAAGTTTTGTTCCATGATATGATAAAACTAGTCATTCCAGTAAGTTGTGTACTAAACTCCATCTCTGCCAAAGAAAAATCACAAAACACCCAAATTGTTGTAGTAGTTCTTGTTTAGATCCAAGTGCACATAGCCAATGCAAGTGGTTTTGCTTTTGATGTCTCTGTTTTCAGTTTAGCAACGTCCACCATCAGAGTGTGACTTCCTTGATGTCAACCATTGTGCTCAGCTCCACCTTAGGTCTGGGAACTTTCTGAAAACAATTTTAATTCCAACTTCACCTCTCAACTGCCTCTGGGGTAGACAGCTGTCTAGGCAGGAGCTTGGAGGCCTCTCTACACGCCCCCCAGTGATAACAAAAGAGCAGACCTGCTCCACCCAGCAGGCTGCAGAGGCTTGGCAAGCTGGCACTTGGAGACCAGAACCTCTGAATCCTTGATTTTACTATGAAGCTGATGCATGGATAAGAAAATAGGAACCCCCTTTAGTAAACCAGGGCCTGAGAGGTCAGGAAGCTGCCCACTCTCCAGTAGCCCTGCCCCACACCATCCGCATTTCCCATCCCATCCATCTCCTTCTTCTCCTCAGCCTGGCCTTCCTAGCTCCCTGCTCACCCTCCCTTGGAACCAGACTCCCGGGCTTCTCACATTTCTGGACCTGGGGAAAGAACTGGCACTTCAGAGAAGGGACCCTGAACCCCAGCTCCCCTCCAGCCACCGGCAGGCACCCACCCAGTCCTGCCAGCCAGAGAGGCGCTGGGAGCCCACCTCCTGAGAAGCACCGCCAAAGGCTGGAGCAGAACTGCCAAGTTTGCTGTTTGCATTCCCCAGGGTGAGGACCCGGAGATAAGTAATTACATCCTTGGGCAGGAATTAGACCAGAAATTCTAAATTAAGGGCTGGGCAGGGGGCCTGAGAAGAACCAGGGGAGGCGGCCTGGAGGAGAGGTGGAAGGAACTCTGCACTCCCAGCCCCACACACAAGGGAAAGACAACATTCCAGCATCAGCAGAAGGGTCGGCAGCTGTCTTGATGCTTGGAGATGATGGCTCCAAGCACAGGCCTTTAGGAGCTTCCCATCCTCCCTGCAGACCCTGACCCCCTGCAGGCCCAGACAGACTGACCCCAGGAGCAAGTCTAGGCTTCGCTATATTGCTGGATATAGCTCTGGCAGGGGGTGGTGACCAGCCCAGGCACAGCCCTAAGACTCAGTTCACTTGCTCCCAGTACACCATCATTCCTGCCTGGGCTGGCTCCCGACAAGTTCCAAATTGGCCCCCTCCCAAATACAGGAGCCCATCAAGAACCTCTCGCCTTGGTCCCTAGGAGCTTTTCGGTTCCCTCCTCAGCTTTGCTCTTCCCCAGCATTGGGGGTCTGTTTCCTGAAGCAACCCCGTCCCCCAAGCCCCACAAAGCCAATCAGACCATCTAGCCCACACACACACACACACACACACACACACACACACACACACACACACACTCTTCATGATAGTCAGGGCAGAGGGTCAGCATCTATCTACAGCCTTGCTAGTAACTCCAGCTCAGAGTATAGGCTCAGACAAGCGCCCTCTCCCTGTAGGTCTGTCTGTCTGTCTGTCTGCCCCTGCCTCTGGGTGCACTTGGATTGGTCTGGCTCAGTCCCTCTGCGGTCTCTGCTCAGGCTCCCTCCTCTCTCTACCTCTCTTCAGCTCCGGCTTTCAGGCTGTTCTCCCAGGAACTCTCTGCCTCTGTCCTTTGTACTGGGCTGATGGGAAGATGGGCAAGACACTCCCTCCAAGGTCTGTGCAGAGCAAGACACAGTCTACCTCCTTGGTGCTTTCCAGGGCTCTTCCTCTTCCCTGCCCAAGCCAACCTTAGAACCAGGGCAGGGCTGGGTGGGAGTCAGACCTACCAACCCCGGCATGGCTAATGCCAGTTTCCATATTGCTTCATCATGCCACTCTGATGCCCCAAGCTGCACATGCACGATCCCCCATCTCTCTGCATTCGACCGAAGCCAGAATAGGGTCCCTGTGCCTGCCCTATCTGCCTCCCCAAACTGCAACCATGCCTTTCTCCCCTGGATCGGCGATCGGCACTGCATCAACCCCTCAGCACTTGGATCTACTGCACCCTACCCACCAAGCTCTGGAGTCCCCGGCGCCCCCACCCAGACCCCAGCAATGGCTCTCTCCAGGCCTCGCATGTGCGGAGATGCAACAGAGTGGTCTGGCGGCAAAGTTCTCCTGCTGCTTCCAACGGTTCCGTTTGCCCGCGGCTCCCAGTCTCTCCCACCCGCTCCCGGCTTCACACCGACCCACTCTCCTCGCTCCCCGGCAGTTTCACCCCCACAATCGAAAAACAGGAAAGGAAAGGAAACCTCTCGCGATAAGGATGGGTAAAAAGAGAAGGGGGTGCCCGCACGAGGATCCAGGATGAGGGGAGTCCTCAAGTGAAAAAGAAAGGGATGCAAAGTTCCCCCGTTCCCTCCGGTGCGTTCAGCCCCGCGCTGAGCTCCCGCAAACACCCCGGATCACCAAGACGCGGCGGCGGCGACCACTCACCTGGGCAAGGCAGCATCTACCCTCGGCTGGGAGGCTCCGAGGCCGGCTCCGCGGGGCGCTCGGGCTCCCCGGCTCGGCCACGCATCCTTCCCCGCTCGAGACAGGCTCGAGCTAAACCTCCGGCTCCGGCGAATGCAGGCAGATGGTGGCCTCCGACGTCCGCGCGGGGAGAGCCCTGAGCGGCTTATTCAGTTATATCCATGGCATTTAGCAAGAAGAAGGGTGGGGGGAGCACAACTTGTTCTCTTCTCTTCCAGGTTTAAAAAAAAAAAAGGAAAGAAAACAGAATTCCTTCCTAGGAAGATGCCCGTAGGATTTTCCGGATCCAAGAACCCCAGGCATTCCCAGGAACCTCGGGCATCATGGAATGTGGGGTGTCTTCAAGTTCAGACGA